TAAAGTCTTAGTTTTCCATAGTGTTCGGGGCCTACAGTAAATCATTCTGCATACCTACTGATGGTTGGGTCAATGGATCACTACAAGTGATTAAATTCATGCCATAATTCCCCTGGCTTGCTTTCATGCAGGCTTTTTAGACGAGTCAAACAACATCAGATACGCTTGAGTGAAGAAAAAAACATTTTTTGAAATTGATCACATTGGGCTTCTGGTGTGTTTGAATCTCTTTCATGTTCTATGTAGCACCACAACACAATGTCAAACTATTTTGCCTTCAGGTTTGCACTCGTGCTTTGTTTTTCCTCATCTTCTTATACTGCTATTTTTATGTTGCGTCCTGTTTTCTTTCTCTTCGGTGTGCCAGGATGGGCACGCATTCCCAATGTAACCAGGCCAGGGTACAGTTGTCTGGGACGGACTCAGTTCAAAAATCACACTCTAGCATGATAAAAAGTGTTCGAATGGTTTGGTGTGAAGTTTGGTAATGCTGCTGATTAGCGATGGTGTTCGATGTCATCGGGGGGGGGGTTTGTTGGTATGGTTGAAGTGACCTACACATTGATGTTGTTGTTTTGCGTATAGCATGAAGTTTTTTCGGGACGTCACCGAGGATGAAGCAGCAGACTCGCCCACAGATTTACGACAAACAGAGTGAGGAGCATTTCCAGAGATTCCACCGCTTGGTTTCCAGGCGGCGCGGTGCGATGCTGACTCAGCCCGGGCGCAGCAGCTGCTTGGGGGATTCCCTGCTGGGGAAACGGCCACATTAACCCTTTGTTTCAAGTGTGTCTGCAGCCTTCCATGTTCGAGGCGGTGGGAGGAAAGGTGTCTAAGCTGGAATCCCCCACCGTGGTTCTGTTTGATTAAAGGTGGAATGATTGATTTCACATTTACTAAGAAACATCCTGTCTGCTTGATCAATTAGCGGCTCACAGCAGTTTGACTTTCCATTGTCCTGGTTGTCCACATCTCCGATTCTGCCCCCCCAACCTACAGTCTGATGCAGACTGAAGGTCACATTTGCTTTATATTTTGCTGCGTTTGTAATACTGCCCAAGTAATATAATCATACTTTTCCATATTACTATTTTTTGTTGTTCTTTTTATTTGAAGTCAGTCTCTTTGCTTTTTGGCCGCCCTTTTGGTTATTTGTTTCTGTTGCCAAAAGGTTATTATTTCAAATATTTCAACACATATTTGGGATTTTTGTATCTGTAAATTCTTTCTCTTTCAGTTAGTTTATTTTATTTCCATTTTATTTGTTAGCTTTTGTTGTCTCAGGTTTTCTCATGAATTACCTTTACCTTTATATCTTTTTTTTGTATAGTTACTTCTTATTGTATTTGGACTTTATTTTTTGTCTCATTTTGTCACGTTTTGATTAGTTCAGTTTTACAATAGGAACACATGTTATTTTGTCTTTATTTTATTTATTTATAGATATTGAAGTGTTCCATTTGGTTATCTTCAAAGAGTAATGTGTGTGCGCTTAATTTCTGCTTGTTTAAATTGTTGTCCTGGTCTCCAGCCTGTGACTCATGTCCTAACATATGTCTGAGGAGTTAATAAGACAAAAAAATCCTAAATTACTTTGCTCACATATTTAGTTTTAATAGGTTTCTGGCTGCTGACACTGTAGGAGTCTGAACCTTCCTTATCTGAGCAGTAAAACTGTCCACTTGGAGGCCTGAACAGAAAAAGCAGTCATCGGTTTTTCTTCTAAAGGCCAATAGGTCTTCCATCAGCAGTTAATCAGCACCCTGACACGTGTTCGTTTTTCACATTATTTGGACACATTCAGGAAACAGATTGGTCCATTTTTAGCACAAAGGCTGACATTGTGCTTCTTGTTCCAATCAGATTTGTCTGTCTGACACATCTGCATGGCAGAAGTCTCGTTGGTATCTGTCTCCAGCAGAAGAAACAGCTCATTTCCTTCTCCTGATATGAGTGGCAGCGAGCAGATATGGACTAATGGAGCTGCATGTGGGCGAGCGCTGAGTGGTGCTGCAGCCACATTAGCTCCCATTGTGGGCAGCGTAATGGAGGAACAAACTGGAAATGGTTGGGAGGGAATTCAGAGGAAGAACAGGAGAGCTCAGGGACCGTAAGCTGTCCACTTCCTGCCGCCTGGCTGCGTAAACCTCCCCGCAGCATAATGGATCCTATCAGGGAACATTGTGCTGCAAATAGATGGATGTTACTGGGTTTTACTGTGGTTTCTTACTGCAGAGTTAACTGGCTGCACTACAATAGATTTTCATTTATGGCCTGAAAGGAGGAGAATGAAGAGCTGCGAGGATTCATTCTGCCTCCATCAGGCCAGCTTTTCAGCTGCATGTTAACCTCAGCATATTCTCCTCTGTGAGCTGTGACCCCCAGCTTGTTCTTAGCTCTGTTTCTGCAGCTGACGGGGATTCCTGTCAGGCTGGAAGAGCCTTGTTATGGAAATCTCGCTGAATTATTACAGTCAGACTGTGGAAATACTGTAGGCTGGTGTTCCTGCAGCGTTTTCATCAGAATGGGCTTCAACTTTCAAATCAGCTTCTAATAATGACGCAGCATCAGTGACTCATGATGGAGTTTTCATGTTCAAATCTTTGAACGTATCAGGATCAAAAAGTTTCAGAAAAAACATGACATTTGATGTAAGAATATCACAGAACATCAGACAAAAGAGCATTAAAGAGCAGTGGGCTTAATGAAAACTACGTCAGACTATCTGCTTAAAGGTTGTTGATTTCAAAAGTAAATATTCTAATTTGAGTTTATGCATCTCACATCAAAGTAGAAGGTCTCCATTACTTAAATGTAAACCTTTGCCTGTATGTCCTTTAACCTTTTAGATTATACATTTGTGTGTGGATGTACCTGTCTAGCCCTCAGAGTGAGGACCATTTTTCCAATTTCACCATCAAATTGAGCACCAGTTGTTGCAAAGTCAGGACATTTAGCCTCACATGCTATTTGCTAATGGTTAGGTTTGGGGCTAAGGTGTCAGTTAGTTTGGGTCAGGGGAAGGTATGCATTGGTAATGTTTTGGTTTAGGGTTAGTTTTAGGGCTAGGGCATAGAAAGAGTTGAAAATGACGGAAAATCAGTGGGTGTCAAAACATAGTCCTCAACACGATGGCAGAACGAGTATGTGTGTGTGTGTGTGTGTGTGTGTGTGTGTGTGTTTGTACTTGTTTGTATTACCTTTTAGGCTGAACTTTAGGTTAAGGATAAGGTTCGGAATACTGATCAGGGTTATGTTAAATGTCAGAGTTTGGCATAAAGGCACTAGGGTTGTCACGATACTAAACTTTTCAACTCGATACCGATACTAAGGAAAATATTCGATACTCGATACCATTTTCAATACTACAACGATAAAATTTCAACAGAAATATTTTGATTAATAATTAAAATACAATAAATACATAAATACAATAAACAATAAGAACAACATTTTGAGGTTGGTCTGTGCACAGTATTTAGCAAGCTTGATAAAAAACGTACAAAATTAAAATTAAGTTTTCCTTACTTGGCTATGCTTTGTACACATAACAATGACACTGGCCAAACCGGTTAAGAAACAAAAATAATTCTCAGCAGCTGCAACTGTTACAAAAAAAATCTGAAACTGAAAAGTGCACAGAATTATTCGATCACACAGTTTTCAGAAAGTGCATTTTCCTCTATTCTGCACTTTAGATGATTTACTGTTTAGGTGCAACTGGTACTCGATACTTTTGAAAATGAGTATTGTATCCGGATACAACGTTTCAGTATCGATACTTTTGACAACCCTAAAAGGCACTAATTCTATTGAATATAAGTCAATGTCATAGTAATACAAACCAGGCCTGTTTATTTGTTGTATTCATTAAAAAGAAAAAAAAAAAATTTATATATATATATATATATATATATATATATATATATATATATATATATATAGTTTTTGTCAATTTCAATTTATTTTACTAGTAGCTAATTTTTATGTGTTTTATGTGTGTGGCCGACACAAAGAGTTGTGCATCATTGTGTACAGCAGACAGAAAATGACAAATAACAATCTAAAAAGGCTGGTTTACATCTCTATACCCCTTGAGGACATCCTTACAGCGCAGTTAAAGCTCTCACTCTTTTGGATTAACTCTCCGAGCTTATTGCCTCTAAGGACTGGATTTCTTTCCTGTTTCTTTTTTTGAAATAGTTTAACCTCAGTTAAACTGGATGGAGAACATTTAAACCGTAAGGTCTGCCCTTTGGGTGGGCAGGAAACATTTACATTGTAGGGATCGAGTTTTGCCTTTAATCAGGCCAATTAAGACTTGTGCAAAGCCACAAGCCATCTTTCCCTCAGCTCTGATCAGAAATCTGTCCCTGTTGTAGAAAAGGATGTGACCTCCACCATGTTTGCTGTCCTCTGAAGAGCTTGAGGTAAACTTTCAAGTTGAACTTTTTAGAACTCTTCTTTTAAGGGATGTCCTTCCTTTGCCACATCTTCATAAAGGTCAAATTTCTGAAGTGCACAACTGAGGGATTCCCCCATCTGAGCTGAGAGCTTCTTCAGAGTCACCATGGGCTTCTGCTGTGACTGTCACTATTGCTCTCATTGCTCAGACTGTTGTTTTTGTCTGATGGACATGTCTTGGGAATTCTGTTGGGAGTTCTGTTTTTCTTCACAGATGAACAAACAGATCTGACAGGTTTTCAAAGTTTGGGTTCCTGTTTTATCACCTAATTCTGCTTTAAATCTTCAATGGGTTTTAGTTATTGTTTTTAATATAATTTCACAAGCTGTTGAAATTAAAATTTTAAAACAGATTAATCATTGTTAAAATTTTTCCACTTTACAGTTATACACCACTTTGTGTTGTTACCATATACAGTCTCCAAATAGGAGCTCGGTAAAAAAAAAAATTTAAGGTGTAAATACTTAATACAAAGTCCTGCACCCATGACCTCATCAGATGTGGATCAGACATTAATAAAAGCGACAGCTAACTTTTGACTCCTCTCAATCAGGTCGGCGGCTCCCCCAGCGTCCTGCTGGTCGAGGCGTTTTATGGGGGTTCTCACAAACAGCTGATTGACCTTCTGAAGGAAAACATCGATGGCTGCTCCGTCTTCACGTTGCCTGCCAAAAAATGGCATTGGAGAGCGAGAACAGCAGCTCTGTACTTCAGTCAGACCATTCCTGCCTGTTCAACATACAGGTTAGAGGCACACATGTGGCACCATGCAGGTAACGCCTAAGGTAGACAACCAATATCCAAATAAAAAAAGTTTGTTTCTGGCACTTTGAGGTTTCTTTCTTCATTGAGAAGACCATTCCATGAAGAACATTTGGCATTATTTTGTCTCATTCTTGCTGGTAGATTGTTTAAAGGTGTCTACGGATTGTGATTCGACCTATCCAGGGACTGCCACTGTAGGTACTAGATCTGCTCGGGGCCCGCCCCTTCTTATGAGGTCATCATATGGCAACTCCACTCGGACAAACTATATCGCACACCTTTCTTAAGAATCAAATCTCTTCTGGACTCACAACATATTATTACCTTCTATATTTAATTGCATTTCATGCAATCTAAAGTAGCCAAAAGTTGAAACCAATCATTGTCAGTCTTGAAGGAAAGCACTGCCCTCTAAGACAGACTGAGCTCTGACATTTACCAAGGTGACAGAGAAAGTCTCAGCTTATTTTTATTGTTTTTATTAAGATCTGAGGGGAGGGAAGGACAAATGGAACATCTTAGTAAATGACTTTCGCTTAGATTTCAAACAAATAAAACAACAGTTATTAGAAAACGAACATTGTTGTTAACACAAAGTTAAAAGTAGTTTAGCTTAATATGGCTAACTGACTGAGATAAAACAGGCTAACCTGTTAGCTAGTGAGCACAGCTAGCCACAGTGCTACCCAGCTCTCCCCTTTTTTATTATGTTGTTGCAGTTACTTTGTTCACCATAAACAGGTCTTATCAGTTTTGTTATCATTCAAGTAAAACTTCATCGATCATTAGACTAATGCTACAGATGCTCCCGACTCTGCACACTGATGCTGCATGATGTTATTTTCGTTTTCTGTGCAACCACAATATTTTACATGTGGCAGCATTCAGCCAGTGTAGCGTAACGTCACTGGCATGCGCAGGGCCCGACAGATCTGGTACCTACACTGCCTCTTCTTCCTTTGATAAGCCTTTGGATTGGGCACAGAAATTGGTTTTATTTAGTTAAAAGCTAAAAGAGAAAAATAAACATTTGAAATCCTTAAAATCTGCATGTATCTGCATGCAGTGGCAGCAAACTGTACGGTGAGTGTCCCTACAGTTTTGCAGCAGTATTTTCTTTACTCTGTGTATTCTTTCAGGATGAGGGGTACAAACAAACAAATAAAAGAAATCATTAAAACTCACTCATTAAGTAAGGAGTCAACATGAAACATTTTTAATTTTCATTAAAGATACAAGCGCCGCTGAGCCTTAGTACACTGCATAGTAGCTCCTAAAGCGTTTCTTGATAATGCACTGAGCTAATGTCGCAGCCCAGCTGTCTCGGTTCATGGAGCTTTGTCATCGTACTATTTGTAAGTGAACTTTAACTTGTAACATTCAGGTGTGAATCCACTCAAGCAAATCTTAAACTTGATGAAAAAACTGAACCAAGAGCACCTCAGAAAGTGTTTTGTTTAGGTCAGAACATATTCGCCCAGTCCTGCTGGAAGTGTTAAGGGTTGAGGAGCAGCGGGAGGAAGACTTGCCAGCTGCTTTCAGAACGTCTGAATTCTGAAGCTGCTGATCTGATGGAGGATAAGAGGATCAGTTTCATGTGTCTATGGTTCCAACATGAAGCCAATGATGGGCAGTTCCCCTTCCTGACGGCTGGTATCCTGGATCTTTTAGATGTGTCCTTGGTTCAACACAATTGGATCAAATTATTAGAGGATAAGAAAACTTTGGAGAAATTGGCCCCATGCTGAGAAGGTAATTCAGCCATTTAATTCAGGTGACCCCATGGTCACATTCCTTGTAAGTGCAAACCTACTTGGCAATAAACTTGATTCTGATTCTGATGTGTTGGTCCAAGGAGGAATCAAAACGTTGCAGGATTTTAACCGCCTTCTAGGAATCGAATGTCCCACCTTTGGACAAGATTGAGGATGAAGAGATGTTGATGCTATAAAGACCTGGGTTCATTATATTAGGGAATAAAACAGCTTGTTTTTTATGGTTGTGATTAAAATGTTTACGATTAAAAATTCAGACTTCACTAATAAAAAATATGGAAAAATAGATAACTTGTTTAAAGAATTAAGATATCGTGCTAAATATTGGAGTCAAGCAGCCCTTGTGATTGAGTTTTAGTTCTCACACATATTGATGTAGTGAGAAAAGCTGTAATTTTAATATGTTGTGCAGCTCTAGGAAATAAAAAAAAACAGCAGATTAAGAGAATCTCCACTTTGGACCTCATAGTTCAGCAAGTTGAGCGTGTTTGGATCAGCTGATTCCTGCTGCTGGTAGAATCATTCTCAAACAAAACCAGCTTTCTCAGGAAAATAATATGACTCATATTTTTTTAGTCCAACCAATATCTGAAAGCATCATAGTCTCAGCTAGGGCTGAATGATTGTGCCAAAAATCTAAATTGTGATTATTTTTAACAGATATTGCGATTTTACATACATCTCTAAATGTTCAACAACTGGCTGCTGAAAGAGCTTTACCTTTTCAAAAAGAGATTGCATCACAGTTATCTGAATGGCTGTGGTCACTGCTCATCTGCACATTATAAGACGTATTTGCCATCAGAAGTCAGTCTAACTGGCCCGTATAACGTAGTCCTGCATCCAGAGATTTAAGAACTTATGAATGAGTGTGACCTGAAGGTACAATTATAGAGGGGTCCATCCCTGTAACAACTTGACCTGATGGTCCACATTCAAACAATGGAGCCAGAAAAGAACAAAACAAGATTGTTTTCTCATTTTATGTCTCATCATTCCAGCAAAATTTTACTGAACATTGTTAGTGTCTCCATCAGGGTCAATATACAGGGTTCCCACGGGTCCTTAAAAAGTCTTAAAAGGCATTGAATTCTTCAAAATGATATTAAGGCCTTAATTGGTATTAAAATGTCTTAAATCAGTCTTTCATAGGTCTTAATTTTTAAAACATCATAAATAGGATTATTTTTATTACGATTTATTTTTTGTAATCTAAATAAAACGTTAAAATTTACATTTTTTTTTCTTTTTATTAAAAAAAATAATGGCTCGCCATTATTGGTTCCGTCCCGATAGCGGAACCAATAAAAGCGTTGTTGTGGCCAGGATATTTGGGAGATGCGCCCTTAACTTTTTGTCTGGAAAATATGAGCATGTGTACATGTAACGATATTTGGCTCCAGCCAAGAGTTTTCTCCATGGCTAAAACCAGTACCAGGGAACATACATGAGGCACAGTGTATTTTGTTCAAGAAGTCATTCAAGCTCAGAACGATGGGAATTAAGGCAGTGGAGTCGCACATGCGAAGCGCGAAACACAAAGCGTCAAAATAGAGTTACCGAGAAACAGCCGGTATTTCTCAGTTTTGTTCCACCCTTGTCTCTGCAACGCCTCCACTTATCACCGAATCAAACGTACTGAGAAAACGATACAAAGAAAAATGGCTGCAAAAAAGACTTAGCACTGGTTATGTTGTGGCTTTAAAACTGATTTATTTTGTTCCCTTCTAAAACAAAGTTTGTGAATTCAGTTAAATAATTGTTAAAATATATCTGTCATTTGTGTGTTTTTAGCTTTCTTCCTGTATGGGAAACTTTTCAAAATCTTAAACATTAGTGCAGTGGTTTATGTTAAAATAAACCTTTGGGTTAAGTTGTGGCAAGCAGGTTTTTCTTGTGTTTCTTGTGAATTTGGTCTTAAATTTTTATTTCAAGTGGCATTAAAAAGTATTAAAAAGTCTTGAATTTAACTTGCCTTATGCTGTAGGAACCCTGATATAAAACCACATTCAAACAAGATTTAAAGAGACTAAGTGAGACAGAAAAAGCAGAAAAAAATCCACTGATCAGCTGCTTTGTCACTTCTCTGGCTCTGCAGGAATTCCTTTGCTTATTAACGGTGTATTGTTCTCCACAGGGTTCTGTTTAGCAGCTCGGTTCTGAACCTGTGCGAGCTGGTTGCTCTCAGACCTGATCTGGCCCGGCTGAAGAAGATCCTGTACTTCCATGAGAACCAGCTGGTCTATCCGGTTCGTAAGGACCAGGAGAGGGACTTCCAGTATGGATACAACCAGGTGCTCTCATGGTAACCGCCAGCTCCATCAGAAGGATCATGTGTGTGGGTGTGTGTGTGCGGGGGGGGTATAAGGATCAGTTCTGGTCCAGATGGGGTTTAGTCCAGCAGTATACTGAAGAGTTAAATTTGTAGAATAATATATATCCATACGGCCTGATTGATCATTTCTCATAATAAACTAAGATTATTTTGCTATTTTTTGTCTTCATGAGGCCCTCTGATTGATTAGTGATTGAGCAATCTGATTGGTTGATTGTGCCTAATTAAAGTGGTTCAGGTTATCGATCAGCTGTCTGACTGTAAAAGTGATTGTTGTTGATCAGCTGGCAGCTCATCAATAAGCTGCAGGCACTCTGTCTTCTCTAACCACATTACAGCATCAGACCACAGCAGGGATCATTAGCAGACGTCTGATGGGAGTTAGAGTCCTGCAGGATCCTGGACCATCTGAACCCCTCCAATCTACTGTTCTGATTTGGTTTTTCTTTGCAGTTTGGTGTCAGATGTGGTGGCCTTTAACTCCCGCTTCAACATGGAGTCCTTCCTGTCTTCCATTCGGTCATTCATGAAGAAAATCCCAGACCATAGACCTAAAGACCTGGACCGGCTGATCCGTCCTAAGTGTGTGGTCCTCAGCTACCCGGTGCAGTTCCCTGACATCAGAAGGTGGGTTTCTGCTGTACATAGGTCAGCCTGGTGACTGACTGTAACAGTGGTCCTCTTGCAGGTCTCAGACGTTTCACTGGTTTAAAAACACTTGATTGAAATCAATGCTGATGAGGTTCTTTAACCTTTTAGCTCAGCTCTTGGCGCAAAATTAATTAAAAGTAGCTCTAATTTATATTAAATGGGACATTTCCTGCTCAGTGGTTTGGATGAGCGTAGTGATGCTGACCGCTTCCAGGTGCGACCAGTAGCTGGAGGATGAAACATCCATGTGGGCTGAGTCTGCTATGTTGACTGTTCCTCTGTGGTCTCTGTTGTGACAACCTTCATCCATCAGTCACACTGTCATTATAACTGAATAGTCATCGAGTTCTGCAGAGAGAAACAGACGTTCCATCCATCATGGCTACTGCTGAACCCAGACTCCTCCGAGATCAATGATGATGTCACACAGCGAGCATCTGTGGGCTTCTTCTACTGTTCTACTTCAGCAAGGGATGATTCCTGATTCTTGAGTCTGAGCTTATGTGACGGGGGCAGCAAAAACAAAAAGTGTCAGACTGGATTAAATGTGCAGAGGGGTTCTGATCCGTGGAAGGATCAGGATGAAGAAAACAGAACATTTCTCAAACTTCTACAATAAAAAACTTCTAGAAAGTTTTTTATTGTTTAAAACAATTTTATGGAACACCAGAGTATCCAAAAATCATACAGTAAACTATCTGCTTTATTATCGAACAACTTTCTGATTCAACAGAACCAAAAAAAACTAGTCACGTCTAAATGTATGTTTTTAAAGTTTGATAAACTGATTCAGTTTAGACGGTTTAAATGAGTTCACTCTATTGTCATTATAATCAACTTTAACCCTTTTCCAATAACTATCAGCTCAGTGTCATCGGTGTAACCGCTGTTGAATCAGACGAGGTTCTATTGGATCTGGGTTTATTTCTGCAGAACCAAACAGCAGGATGAAGTTCTGTATTTCTTACTCTACATGTGCAGCGAAGCGATTCGTCCTCGCTGCAGCTTCTCTGTCTGATTATTACCCTGATTATAAACCCCAGCAGCCTCAGCCATCGTTGACCTTCATCTTTAATCAAACTCAGAGGTGACATCATCACCATGATCGTCAATAATCTGATTGGTTTTACAGCCTGCGGTCAGACTGTTCATTCCTCAAATGGATCACTGGAATCCTGCTTTCCAACGTCCTCGGGGGAACAAACAGTCAGACTACAAGGCGCTGTCATGTTCTATTTGTCCCTGTTTCTCTGGGTTCTGTTTCCCATATCTCTGGTTCTGGTTCTGTTTTTCAGTCTGCTGCCTGAACACAAACTGAGATGTCTTTGCCGCTCTGCAGAGACGCCTCAGAGCGATCATCGGATCGTCACCTCGCCGACCGATCAGCAGCATACGTCATGGTACCAAAACCATCAACAGATTGAATCCGTTCACCTGAAGGTTATCACATCAGTTGGTTCTGACTTCATAGGTTTGGGGAGGTTCCCGATCAGCCCCCATCGGATCCCAGAAGTGCCCCGACAGCTGGTCAGGACCCAGAGTGTTTGGACCAGGTGAAGCCTCTACACATCGTGTGGCCTCACAGGTGGTGAGTTCTGGTTCTACCCAATCTGTAGTATCACTGGTTCTGTTACTCTATGTAGCAGAACCTCCTACAACTAGGAATACAGTTCCTAGTTGGAAAATAGTTCAAGCAACAGGATCAGATTAAAAGTCCTTTAGATAGACTTAGACTTAGAGAGATTTACTTTGTCATTTTGTATACACAAGTGTAAACAAAAAGAAATTTCGTTTAGAACAGCACTAGACAATTTAATTTTTTTAAAGTGCAGCCTTGAAAACAGTAATAAATACATAAATACATAAAACAGTAAGACAAACATGATTGTATATTCACAGCTCTAACATTCAGTATTTTTTTTTTTATATATAAAATAACCCATTTTACATAACATTCAACAGTCTAATGGCAGTGGGAAATAAACTGTTATGAAATCTGCTGGACCTGCATCAGATGCTTCGAAGTCTCTTCCCTGAGGGCAGCAAGGAGAACCGTCCATGTTGGGGGTGTGAGTGGTCTTTTACGATATTAGGGGCTCGGGACACGCAATGCTGGGATGAAATGTCTTTAATGGAGGGAAGAGGAGCCCCAATGATCTTCTCTGCTGTTCTTGATGATGATGCAGTTTACTATTAATTTACTCAGGGGTAAAAACAGAAATTAGGATTTTCAGTTCTGCTAAAAATATACTTCAAACCTCACCTCAGGCTCAATCTAATAAAACCCAATATTATTCACTTTTGTGACAGCAACCTCCTAAAACTATGCTAAAGCCTGGTTATTCACAGGTGTGTGGCTGCCTCCTCAGTCTGTCCAGCATTTCTGTTCAGCTTCACCTCAAGAACTGAACCCTTTAGAATAAACTCTAAGATTTGTATCATGAAGTCTGGCCTGGTTGGAATCAGGTGGATCTGGTGGTTTTATTCTGTCTGGAATCATGGATTTATGTGTTGTTTAAACTGGTGTTTAGTTATGTGAGAAGAATTGCAACTTTGTTCTGGATTCATCAAGTCTTTCATGTCTTTTACATTTAGTAGGTTTCCAGTGAACTGTTTGAAATCATCAGTTTTATGGATCATCATGGAATAACTTTAGCTTAAACTGCACTGGTCCTCATTTTCAGTTTTATCTAATTTAATCACAAAGTAAAGCCATTCCAGACAGGGGGCTGAGTATTACTAACTTAGGGAGGAAGGGTCAGCAGCTGAATTAAGATGCTGAAATCTACCAGACACATCAGCTAGCAGTGCAGTTTCTATTAACGGTCCAAACTAAACCTCCCATTCTCTGTGTTTTAAGGGAACACGACAAGAACCCTGAGCTGTTCTTCAGCACTCTGATCAAACTGAAGGAAAAACAGCTGGATTTCAAGTTGTCAGTGCTGGGAGAGACTTTCACTGATGTGCCAGGTATCCACTGAGACGGAGCTGGAAGCTGCTGTTCTGCAGGATTAGCATATTTCAGTATCATTCTGCCCTGATGAACCCAGGCTAGAACCAGAACCGCGGCTTCAGGTGTGGGCCTACCTGTGTTCTGGTAGCTGTATCTCCACTGGGTGTGTTTCAGTGTTTTAATAACGATGTGATGGAGTGTTGATGAGTGGGTGTTTTAGCGGGCCGAGCCCACTCCGAGTTATTGGATCATAAAGTTTTAGTGCAGAACAAACAGCCGGCAGTAAATCAGCCAAGAGCCAATCACATTAGGAGCTGAGTGATTTCACTAACAGCTCTGAGTATTGATCACTTTCACCTGTTAGGGACTCTGCCAGTTTAATCAGAGAGATCTGTCCTCATCAAACTGTCCTCTTCCTCTAATTACCAACATAAACCTCCTGGAGGAGGAGGAGGGAGAACAGGGATGATGAGAGATGACGGGAACACGTTTCTACTGATTTTTAATCAAAATTATATTCTAGGAATCACTCTGTTTCTTTCCCCCCCCCCCACATAATCTCATTAAACTTTTTATGTTCTTAATTTTTGGCATGCTATAAGAGCTCTGCGTCCTTCCTAGCATGGTGAAGCTGTTTTCTCCTCCTGCAGAGATCTTCTCCTGCTCCCAGATTCTCCTCCAGTCCAACATCCTGAACTGGGGCTTCCTGTCCAGTAAGGACCAGTATCTGAAGGTGCTTTGTGAGGCAGACGTGGTTGTGTCAACCGCCAGGCACGAGTTCTTCGGAGTGGCCATGTAAGTTTTGAATAACGACAAACAAAAGAAAGAAAAGCTGAAGTGTTAAGATGAGTAACCAGTGAATTATGGGCAGGAAAAGCATAAGAATGAGCAGCAAGGAAAGATCTTAAGGGTGAGGAAACAAAAATTGAAAAAAGATTCCACTAAATCGTATTTTTTTTATTTTTTTTATTATGTTCTTTCTACTGAAGAATAAAATATATTATTAATAAGGACGCAACACTGATGTCACTAAGGACATACTTTCTGGGACTTCTGAGTAGAAAGAAAACAAGAGGCAAAGGCCTGTCTGAAACATTTAATTAATCTTAATACAAGCTTTTTGGATTGAACTGAAAATATTATTAAATAAACAGGAGTAAAGAAGGATCAGGTCCTTGCAGTTCTATTCTGAAACATCCTTGTTCTATCTTGCTAATCTTCTGCTCATTTTTACATCCTGTTTTTTGTGAGTCTGCGGGGATAACTTCTACATTTTCTCATTCGTTTCTGGTCTGCTCATCAACCTTATCCTGAGTGATTTTTTTTGTTTTTTTTTTAATTCACTTTAAAATGCAAAACTCCTAAAATGTTGCATTAAGACCAATTGTTAAATTCAAACCCTGTAGAAAAATAACATTTTAACTAATTTTACTGGTTTGGTTTTTAGCCTGATCCAGGTTACCCATATGAGTTGGTGGTTATCTGAGGTTTTCCATATCTGTAACTTCAGTCATTTCATAACACTTCCAGATATTCCAGGATTTAGCTTCCTATAAGACGGCCTCAGCTGTTAGAGGTTCTGAAGCGGAAACAGAAGAGTCATGTAGGCCGACCCTTTGAAACTTATTAGGATTGTATCTGGTTTTGTCTGAATCCAGATCATCAGCATACCTCATTAAGGCCCTGCAGCGAATATCAGCCATAGTAGTGCACTACTATGGCACTACTAACCTGTTTCCTTTGATTAATGGAACCAGAAGCCTGATTCCTCCTGATTCCATCCAGAGTGTTGATGATCTGATCTGATCTGATCTGATCTGGAGTCTCTGACGTGTTTCAGGTTGGAAGCCGTCCACTGCGGATGCTTCCCTCTGTGTCCAAAGGCTCTGGTGTATCCTGAAATATTCCCAGGTAAACACATTGGAGATGGCTCCACTTCTATGTCTGCAACACCTGACCTCTCTCTACTCTTCTTCTCAGATCAGTACCTGTACTCGACCCCTGAGCAGCTCTGTAAGCGGCTACAGGAACTCTGCAAGAGACCTGACCTCGCCCGTAGACATGTTGTCATGGTAACCCCATCATTATTCCCCCCCTTTTTTTTTTTTGCTAATTCAGTTTTAGTTTTATTTAAAGGAAAGTTGTGTCTGTCTGGTTTTGGTTCTGCAGGTGGACACCTCTCTGTACTCCTGGTCCTCCCTGAAGTCACAGTTCCAGTCTCTGCTGGCTGCTGAAGGTCCCTGAAAGCATCACAATGCTGGTTGCTTCAACTACATCTTGGGTTTGGGTCAAAACAAGTTCTGGTCAGAGATCAAACTGAACTTTTAAGACCCACTCTGGATCTAAGCTGAGATTAAGAGACTGAGTTGTGGCCAGAAATATCTCAGCTTCCTTACTTTAACAGCAAGAATAAGCAGCAGAGTCCATGTTCTGGTTCTGATTCTTTGATGAATTTATAAGAGTTCTACTGTAAACAAATGTCTGCAAAGGTTAATTCAACCCATTTTTTACTGTTTTTCTAATAAAATATTTGAAATAAACCCTGATCAATGACTTTATCAAAGATAGTTGGTTTCCAGTAACCATGGAGACGATTAAACAGGCCTTTGTGATATACAAGGATGATTGAAGACACATTTTAACTCACCAATTATATTAGGAGTGAGCGGGATCTGTTCAAGCCTAAATGTATGATAGATCAAAAAAAAAAGTGCAGCTAGAATCTTTTATAAGAACTATTAGATTCTTTCTATCACTGACCCAAAAAACTGCAGTGGGTTTTTAAATGATCTTTTATAAATCCTATAAAGAAATGTTATAATTTACTTAACAAAAAAAAAGTCTAATCAACCAAAACCTTTGCAACCCCCATGCATTATCTCTGTGGACCCCCTGTTGAAGACCTCCGCTCTAGATGAAAGATTTATTATTGTTTTTTTAATCATTGTATTCTTGAATATAGCTAACTGTAAAGTGCTTGCTAAAATTTTATAAAAATTTAAGTATCCAAAAAACAGCATGCTCTTCAATGAGTTTATAAAAAAAAGGTTAACCCTTTAAAGCCCGATCCAAGAATAGAACAAAACAGAAAATAACTTTTTTTTTTTGGTTTGAAGTCGTTATTTGGCCTTTTAACAAAATATGTAAAAAGAAAAAACAGAAATACATTTTTGATATTAATAATTAATTACTATGCGATAAGTCAAGATTATTTTTTGTGTAGTCTTCTGCCCTCTGTTATCAGGTATATCTGATTGTGTACACTAGGATTTTTAGCAAAGTTGTTACCATTAAATTATGCAAAAGGTGTCAGACTCAAAACATTTCAGAAACCGTTTGGCATTATAGGGTTAAGGAAGTGTGCATTGATGCAGAAAGAGCAATAACACTCTAAACCAGGGGTTTTAACGTTTTTCAGACCAAGGACCCCCAAACTGATGGCGAGATGGAGCGGGGACCCCCTAATTATATTATATGAAATTGTGTTCTATCAAACTGGTCCTATAGTCACTCTATTACAGCTTTAGTGATGTAACAAAAGTGATTTCACCCTGGGGTTATTAAGGTATTTCTGATTCTTATTCCTGGTTGATGGGACAGGTGTTGAGAATGAAACAGTGCCCAGTTTGAAAGAGCTCCTGTGTGTCGCTGAATGTGTGCATTGATGACTGAAAGACATCTTCTGCCTCCATTTATCTGTTTACTACAGTCTGATGAATTCATGTTAATGTGTATTTAAAGACATTTCAAATAGTGGAAAAAATTGCAGGGGGGAATATAAAAAAAAAAGTGTAATCAACCAAAACATTTGTCACCCCCATGCATTATCTCTGTCGACCCCCTAGGGGTCGCGGACCCCCTGTTGAAGACCTCCGCTCTAGATGAAAGATTTATTCTATATATCTTCATTAGCAAATATCCTCCATTTGGAATCTAGTGCCTGAAGCAGAAGGAACCGTGGATTATTTATTCTTTACAGCACACATAGGGGAAAGGTGCCCAGAAACACAAAAACAAGACTTATTTGCATGTTTGCACAAAGCTCTGTGCAAATGTCATTTCGTGAAATAAATCTTACATTATAGCAACTCCTTGTGTTTCTGTTTTGGGAAGAAAACATTTTAAAGCCAACTCCAAAATGTCTGACTGCCTCTGAAGAAGGTCATCTTTCAGCGTAGGCTGCTCCCTTACTTTAATCCAGACCTGCAGACTTTAAAGGAGACCTAAAGATGAAGCTTGAAGGAACATAGAGCTCATTTGATTGAGAAAGCATTTAATCTCTAACCACTGTCTGTTATTGCTAAAGAAAAACCTTCAAAAAGATGGAGGGCCATAAACAACACTAGATCTATGTAGCGTCAAAAACAAGAGTGGTGAATTAAACTGATGAAGTGAATATTTAATGAATGCTGTTTTATTTCCCTCACTGAAATAACTGAAGTTCAGAATCATAAACATGTGGCAGCTTCAATGAACAGAACCTGACTGGTGGAGAGAAAGCAGATCTCCCATCACAGACAGAAACCGTTTGAAGCTTCAAGGGTCCCTCTCCAGACAGAGGTATTATCACCAAACGGCAGCCTTTATGGTGCTGCAGGGGGGAGGCTGTTTGTTTCTGCAGAGCTCTGATTCACAGTCTGAGTCCTCTGGCATCACAACGCCTGTTCATCACAGACGGATTTACACAAACAGCACTCGCTGTTAACAATGCTTTCTCTGTGCTGCCTTATTCATTCTTCAAGATGGTCCAAAACTCTTCTGCTCGGTATCCAAAAGTGTGGAGACAGATTGATGGCAAAGTAGCAACTGATCAATAACTGCTTATTGATATTTAGCTTTCTGTGAGAAAATGGGAAATGTTTGCTCTGTGAGGTATTGATATGGTTTTATCACAGTTTTATCATGTTTGACTCCTGATGAAGATGATGGTGAAGAGCAGGGGGTCAGCTGAAGCCTCTGAGTCTGATGACTCATTAACATCTGATAATAAGATCAGATCAGTGAGAGTAAATGATCCGAATTCCCCTGAACAAACTGAATGATGACTACAGAGTGAAATCACACTGCAAGTAATCTAAATGGCACATTTTCTTTAAATAAGTGCTTTTTTACTTGAATTGAGCAGATAAGTGAACTACTTTGCTAATCCAAGAAGGCAATTTACATTTAAAAACATGCACTTATTTCAAATGTATTAAATTTATCTTATTTTGGGGGTAAAAATACTAATTCCAGTTTGCGGATCATATTATTTACCCACTAAAATTAAGCGTAAATACACATATTTTAAGAATTTTTTTTAGTAAAGTTTAGATCTTTTTTTTTGTTTTGCTGAGGTGACCATCATCCATGACAGACCTGTTCTGGATCCATTTCTGAGCTCAAAATCTGCTCCGACCCGTTAACAGTTAGCAGTCTGAGACAACAAACATGTTGTCCTGCCACATGTAATCAGCAATTTAGATAAGGCGAAGACATGATGAATATTACTACAGCTTATTACAGAGCTGAAACTGATCCGGTCTGACACTATCAGAACTAATAAGGATCAGAGAAGAACCAGAATGCTGTGTGGTTCTGACTCTGGTTAAGGACATGACAGGAGCTCCTTTCAGGTTTATTTTTCCAGAGGATTTTAAATCTACAAAACATTTAATTTCTCAAATGTTAAAAACTTTCTGATGATGGACCAGAAATCACTATGATGCATGTCCTGGGGTCTGTTTTACAAAGAGGGCGTTTCCTCAACCCCTGTGAAACACAGAGGTTGAGGACCCAATCTTGTGCCAATCACGTTGTTTTATTTCCTGATTTAATCAGCACAGTTCTGTCATAGATTTGAAAATCAGTCAGTAGGTCTGATTTTCCATTTGACATATTAGATATTACAAACACAAAAATAGCACATCTTTTAAACAAGGATCCAATTAAAGAATGAACAGTATTAATTCAAAGAGAATTAAATATCTATAGGGAGAGGAATCTCAGACGGTATAGTTCTTTCATAGTCAGATATGTGTCTTTGAGCGCTACTGTTTCACCTCACAATCCATTAAAAATATCAACAACCTTATTGGTCCTCACTTTTGCAGCAATACAGAGACTTCTTTAATAATAGTAATAATAGTTAACAGAACTGAATATCAGTGACAGAACACTGATCTGTGATAACAGCATTATAGAAATCAACTGCACAGTCAAACAGCCACTTAGTTTTTACTGTGTAATGGAGGAGAGAATCAAAATGAGGAGGAACCCCATGAGATGATGCATGGGCCCTACTTGTTTGAACAGCATATCTATAGTTCATCTTCACCAGCAGACAGGTGAGTTCACCTAAATATAATACATTGATCCACTGCCATTCTACCAGTATACTAATTTCCACCATAATTCCATCGTACAACAGTATATGGCAGGCTGTTTAGATATTCATTTGTTTGAGTAAATATGTATTTCTGATATCTAAAATATTTTACTTGTCAAAACATCTAAATTAAACATTCTGGATGTCTAGAATATATTTCAGATGTTAACATTATATTGCTACTGGTCATAATTTGTGTCATTTTGACTACAAAGAAAATGCATATCAGATAATATAAAAACATACTGTAATATATCAAGCTGAGAAATAACATGACAACCACTTAAAATGTGTAAACATTTCTAGAAATATAAAACTTCATTTTTACTAGTACAATTTTTTTCCTACTTTCTGAAATTCAGTTTTGCTGCAAAAATATATATTAAAAAATCTTTTATAACAGTTCTGACTAGGAATATGAGTTTGACCAGGGAGAATCTTATTTTTGTGATTTAAAAATCAAACAACAGAGAGGATAAATGTAAAAACAGCCTGCCATAGTGACTTTATATAATCTTACCCAAGCAGCAATGTTCTCCCAAGCCATTTCCCTCTCCTTTGCAGCCGTAGCACTGTTGCTCTTTCATTTAAAAATAATCTCTAGATTCAGTGGTATGAAATAGGCGTACTTGTTGCCTGTTGTCATGGTAACTTGTCGAATCGGTACTCCACTTATAATGGCTAAAACCCGGTTTCCAACCTTTGGGTAGATAAATTCAGAGTTGAGTTTTTGAGTCTGAGTTTCTTAAATCTACTTTGTGAAACAGGCCTCTGATCTGGAATGTTTATTTATTAAATTCTTTCATCCAACATATCAGAGAAAGAAAGACTGTTTTAGATTCTCTTTCCCAGCAACCAACAGATCAGACTGACACCATGCAGAGGAGTGTGTCTGTATGAGCACACAGATGACCCTCTCTGTTTAATAAATGAGGCCTCAGGGGAGTGTTGTTATGAGGAGCACTGAGCATGTACGGTGCCCTCAGGCCCTGCTGATGCAATCTGGATCAGCGTCGCCTCTCCTGATGAACGGCTGCAGATGTCAGAGTTCATTAACAAGCAGCGGCATTTGAACTCCAGGCTGCAGGGCGGACAGTAACTGGGTCAGAATCATCCACCCCTGGAGGATTCTTCAGAATCAGATCCATCAGTGCACTGAGTGGATGTTCTTTGTAGACCTGGGTCCATTGA